GTTCCATGAGCGTAAGCACGGACGAAAACCCGGAACTGGCTCTTGCCACCTGCGCGGAAAGATTACAGCCATATTATGCAATAAAAGATGCACTACACTTACGGGAATAATAGCAGCCGTAGACACACCAGGAATTATTAATCAATCAACATCCAGAGGTAAGACATACATGCATTCCTAGGTAACACATACATAGTCTAAATGCTTGTTAAGGGTGTCAGAGAATAGGCTTCCGTGTTTTGAGCGAAATTTCGACCCACTGCACAGTGCGATGGCGCCGGCGATGGCAGCGGTGGGCACCCGCGCTCCTCTAAATAAACAATCGCCGCAGGATTGATTCCCGGACGCGAGCCGCGCTCGGCGGTGGGGGCGGTTTAGGACCGTCGCTGTGTACTGCGGCACCCCTCCCCTCCCCTTTCCCCCCTCCCCAATTTCCCCGCACCACCCTTACCTTCTCTCACCACATCTTCGCATATTCACAACTCCTCCCAAACCTCCCTCCCGCCCGCCCGGCCCCCCCACCCTGACCCACCCCTTTCCACCTCCACATACCTCCCTCCCCCCGCCCGCCCGCCCCACCTCACCCCGACCTCCCGTTCTCTCTCTCACACTCCCTTTCCTCCCTCTAACACCTCTCTTACCCTCCCTCCCGCCTCGCACCGACCCCCATCACCCGCCTCGCCCCCACGCCCCACCCTCTTCGAGCTCTTCACTCCGGCTGCTATACGCCAACTTTTCCATACCGCCTCTCCAACCCACCCACTCTCTCTCTCCTCCCGCCCACTCCCTACCCCCCTGGCTGCCTTTGCCCTACTACATCACTTAGCCACCACCTCACTCCCCCCCCCCTCGCCTGCCCTTCCCCTGACCCCCGCAGATCTCCCCGGCCTTTCGCCCTCCCAACCCGTCACCCCGCCCTACCTCAGCTGTCGTCCTGCGGCCCCTTCGCGGCGGAAGGCGTCATAAAGCGGCGGAGGCTGGCGCTGCGCGGACGCTGGCGCTGCGTCGTGTGGCGCGGAGGCAGGGCGCTGCGGGGGAGCTGGCGACGGCCCATCGCGGCTGAAACACGACGGGGCACAGACGACGCAGGGCTGCTATGCGGTTCTATTCTCGTTCACGAAAGTGCGAATGTCTGTTCTAAGTCTAAAAATGGACCACGAACCTAAATTCTACTCAGAGATGACGATTTGTGGGTTCGTTGAGGGTGTTTTCATACGTTTACTACAAAGAACCGATGGTTTGTTTTTGGTGATAAAGAACCCTTAGCTAACCCGATATTTCAGCGCAATCTTGTAGCCTCTGCCTGATAGTCTGGGGTAGACGAACACCATTCATTGTAGAACGGACTATAACGTCTTAGTAAACTTTCATGTACACTAACCTTTTAAAAATTATATTGGAGCAAACCTTAATGTAGCGGCCAGACACCTCAACATCCAGGATGTGATCAGGGTTTGATTCCCGTCCGATCTAAGTGAAATTTATGATTTACAAAACAATTTTGCGCTAGATTTTCTTCGGATTTTACCATTTCCTCTACATCTTATTCCCTACTTCTCCATCAATATGCTCAGTTCGTTATCATCATCATTACAACTCGACACAAAAGTCTTACTACAAACTCGGCGTTAGTGTTTGGAGATTCTGGGTGCGGAACTAACCGAAAAGTTATGTCATAGGTCAAATATATACAATAATATACTGATTGTCTGCTATTACTTATTTCCTATGCACACAAATAAATTGAAATTAAAATTGCAGCTTACGATCAAGTTGAGAAAGGTATGCAGTGTTTTCTGAGATACCCGAGAACTCGGTAAAAATACAAAAACACTAGAATTTTTTTTAAATTGTACCGAAAAATGCGAATATTTGATTGTGTTTTCCGTCCATTCTTATACCGACTGAATTATCGTATTCGGTGCGTTACTGTTTATGACACTACTGGCGTCATGGGACGGTACCACCCTAAAAAGAGACCGTCGACCATTAAATATTTGCTATTCTCATGTTGCGTTTTGAACAACTTTTTTATCGATTCTTAGCATAAACGGAAACTGTTGTTCAGTCATCAGTTTCGTAAGTGTAATGCAGATTTTATCGTAGGAGATGGCGGTGACCACCAAAATATAAGAACTAACTAAAGACATTAGTTCCATTCTATACTAGTGAATTTTGAAGACGGCAAGACATAATAATGTATGAAATATTACATAGCCCTCTTTCTCCTCGTTGAAATGTGACGAATGTGAAAGTTACTTAACGTCTTGGAATGAGAAATAACATTTTCCCTTACCTTACCGTACCTTAAAGTTCCTGAGAGAATATGTGGCACAGTAAGAAATCGGTGTCGTAAAAAGGGTTTTTAAGTTAGCCCGCTGACGGGTGGGTCTTGTTCTGAGAACTCCCGCAAACTACTGCTTAAAGATCTTTTACTATCTCGCCCTTACTTCGTAAGAAGATAAACTATTGTAATCGGGGATCGGAAAATGGCGAATTTTTGCCAGAAAAAAAAACACTTGTCTCTGGGACCTGGTTCAGAAAAAAGGGATAAGTCTATTTTTATACTGCAAATTACATCCTCTAACACTTTGTGTACCCAGAATTTATATTTTGTGAGTTGTTACCGAAAAAATTTTCTGGGGGCAAAATGTCTGCCTCTCTGCCTGGGGTCAAAGCTAGCGCCTAAACCGTTCAGCCGTTTTGTCCAGAATTGGCATTCGTCAATCAATTTAAAGGAACTCAACGCTCTTAGAGTTTCAAACGGTTATTTTCCTTTTTGTGCGGCATCTTATATGAACGTTTTCAAAATTTTCTCAAAAATGGCTCTTAAGTGTTGGACTAACGTTTGTCCTTAATTAGGTAAAGGCCGCTTAAAATAATGTTGCAGATTTCTCTTACAACGAAATGCTTGATTCTTAGGAAATTGCTTAAGTTTAAATACGTTTCGTCGTTTTCCTACAACTACAATATTTAAGATACTTTTTTACGGAATAAAATATGTTCTTTACGAACAGGTCTTGAAATACGGTCCTATACAATTGTTCGAAAATGTATTTTCGTTATTTTTGCGTGAAATATAGACAATTTTTAATCTTTTTTCTCAAAAACGGCTGCTTATTTCTTCTTTAATTTTTTTCCTTGTATGTGTTAAAAGACGGTATAAAATTTGGTGCTAACCCCATTTTACAAAAATCTCTGTGATTTCGAAAATTGCAAATTACATTGCAAAAGTACAATATTGAAGAGAGACATTTTTGTTTTGAGAATAATAACATATGATTTAAGAAATCATGTCATTAAATCGATCATAACATTTTTTTTAAATACGAACAGTTCTTGTTTAATTTCTGACTGAAGTTACAAAATAAAAATAAATACTATAAAAAAGTATTTAACATTAACTGTTACAAATTGTTTCTCAAAATTTTCTCCACAAGTAGAACTAGGATCGCTTAAAAATGGCTATGTGGTAAACGGAGACCAGCAACTGGTGGGAAGATACTAAACATGGTGAGAGTCAAGGATGCAGTTTTCGTTTACGCTGAATAAGCCGAAAATCTTTTAGTTCCATGATACCACCTTAACATTTAAAGAATTTTCAACTGTATATTTACGCCGCAAATTGATGGAGAGCGTTCCATAGTGTGAGACAATCTACATGCTGTGTCACACTGAATGCTACATCTACATGCCCATCGAGGTACATACTTCATCTACGCGTTACATATAATCGAGTTCCCTTCTTAGTTAGTAGTTCAAATAACTGCTAGAAGCAATCGCAGACTGTTTGATCACTTGGAAGTCCACCAATAGCTAGCGAAATTTTAAACTGTTCACTGTGATTCTCCCTCAATCTACTGTGGGTTAAAACAGAATTTTTACAATTTTGATAAAATGGAATTTTTATAATCGTAAATGCGCGCCTAACATAATTCTTACTAAAATAATATAGAGTAGAAAACTGTGACTTACATTGTGATGCACAGTTTTTGGTTCGAACAATATTTCTATTTGACCGGGGGAAGGGGTGTAGAGCGGTGGTGCCTCTTACTCGGGCCGCCGGCACGTAGTCGTGTGGCATTTTTGCATCAGCAGCAGTAGCAATAAACAAATAGTAATGGGATAATACAATAGTAGACGACAGCACGACGATGCATAGCCAAGCATGTAAAGGCGCCAAATAGTGCTCACCACTTTTCAGTTGCTTAGCATTGTAAATTTGATATTTTTAAAACAAGCATTGGCAACCCTGCAGAGACCTCATCACAATTTGAAACCTCTGATTGGATAAAGGAACCCCTCTCCCCTGTCAACCTCTAGCTGTCAAGTAGACAAATATTATTCAGACAATAGGTCACATTTCGACCTATTGTCTGAATAATATTGTTCTTGAAATGATTTTCACAGAAGTGGTAAGCCCTTTAGTTATTGAAAAGGACGCTTTACAATAGCTCCTTTGCACTGGAGTTCGTCTTGTGAGTACAGAAAACTTTCTTTAAGCCAAATCGTTGCTCATCGGCCTATCACGAAGGAATCTTCCTCTCTGGCAGTAAATTGATGCAAAATTTAAAAATAAACAATAAAGTAGTTGTGCTACATCACATACTTTCTCGTATAATGCAAACGGTTATATACTCTTATAATACTATTTTAACATACTTTGGGTAATTTTTAAAAAAATACAAGGTTATATCAAAACAGCCGTTATATCATGTAATTCAGTGCATTTAGCTCTATTCATTCAAAATTCTTTAAAAATATTGGAATCGTTTTAGGGAAAATCTTGTTTTAAAATTTCCTTTAAAAAAAAGGTCAGAAGTATCTATTTTTTTAAATGTACATGATTTTATTTTAAGACATACTTTTGAAGAACAAATTTTATTCAGAAAGAGATATTTGTCATCAATATTGTAGTTGAATGAAGACATAGAGAAATATTAAACGTCTGCAATTTTCGAAAGTTAAGAGATTTCAACAAAACATGCGCCAATTTTTATACGTGAATTTTTCTCATCTGATAAAAATAAAGGAAAACTATGGACATATTTGTGAGGAAATTTTGAAAATATCGTTGGGACTTGATGTTGACAACCTCCTAAAAATAAATATTTGTTGGAAATTCAAGAGGTGGCGTCTTTAGCTAGTTCGATCTGGCAATATTAGTTTTGACGAGAATTCTACCTACGCACGGTTTAGCTTCTAGTTTTGTTCAGACATGAAGAGCTGGGCGGACGGTTGGAAGGACAATCGGAAAGAAAAGAATAATATTGATTTTAGAAAAACACCAACGAAAAGTAAGAAAAAAGTGCATAAATTATCTCACATAAAAAATTCTATTAGTGTTGATGCTACTTTATAACACTGACAGTGTTATAAAGATATTATTAACGCGACATTTTTTTTCTGAGAAACTCTTTTTAATGTCCTCTAAAACATACAATCAGATGACATTTCTTCAGAGATAAATCAGTACATTGAACTAAAAAGAAAACTAGACTGTCAATGATAAATATACCACTAATTTGCATAAAATAAAAATAACACAAAATAAATGCAGGAAACCCGATTACCAAAACAGATTCTCAAGTATATGCCGAAGGAGGAAAAGGAATGTTAGAAGGCCGAAGAAAAGACGGACTGATAAAAGACACGACGGAACGAATGTAATGGAAGAAGGAAAATCGAGATGGAAGAAGAAGACAAAATAAGTACTAGATGTTTCTTCCTAATACCCTTGTTTTGTCAAATAGAATACACTTCAAGTTTAAATAGAATCTCTTTAAATACTGATTATAATTTTATCCAAAATATTACATTTTTCATTATTTTTTATCGCGCCTGAGAAAACCTCAATCTTAGACTAATAAAAATACATAACACTCTTGTCTCCTATAAGTGCTGCATGAAATATGCATAGAATTTATCACACTTCAATGGTTCAATTTATATATAGCTTGTTGGATAGTTCCTGATTTTGTACATATTCATGTAACAGACTTAATCCACATAAACCAATTTTTTTCTTTGCTTACATCGCCAAAACATTTGTCTGTTTTATTATGTTAAACCAATGAACCCCTCAAATAAGAGTATAATTATTACAGTACTAAATGTATTTACGTTGAAAAATACAATTAAAATAGTTATTTTCAAATAGGTGTTTAAAGTTTCCGTTTTGTTCACGGTTGAGATTCAGATTTTTCTTCGAGACCGTAGGTCGAGGCAAAAAAACTCAGTGGAGACCATGAAAGAAACGGAAACTGTACAAACGAAGTATGAAAATGTTTCTACAACTGCATAAAAATATAATTCAAAAGGTTTTGTAAACTTGTGTGGAAAAAAGCCTCATACCCTGGACAATATAGAAATGTATTTCATAGAATCATGATTAGAGGAGAGGATTCGAAAACCATACAAAAAAGACTTTTTTCACAGTAATAAGATAGTTATCTTGGCAACAATATCTTTTTAATGGATATAAAAAATGACGAACTTCACGTACAGCTAGCGATGCACAAAAGTGGCCTTTTTTACGCAGCTGTAGAAAAAATACATTTCAGAGAAAACATTGCTGTTTCATAATTTTTCAATAAATGATACATACGTAAGTTGTTTTTTAGAAAATTAAATACTATATGTGCACTCTAAATACAGTAATTAAACATCGTTGAAGTATTTTAGAGAACAATATAAAATAAATATACCTATTACATTTCAATGATATTTTAAGTGAACATCACTTTATGTAACACCTTTTTACGTATACTCGTTTAAGGGTTTTTTTGAGAATAAAAATAAATCTGGGTTGTCAGACATACTTCAAATCAATAGACAGTTGTTGCCTGAGATCATTTCATTCATTTTTGTAAAAATTAGTTGGAAGTCCATTTTTGTGCATGAGCCATCTAATGATGCGGTAAAATATCGTTCTTCCTAATACAATTTAAAATTCCCAACCTGTTCAATGTAGTTTCTTCTTCCTCTGGTTATTCCAGATATCGCGTCTTCTGAACATCTTGATTCAGCCGGGGGAACTCAGCTGTCACTCGGTAAATTTTTGCATATGCCGGTTGCTCTAAAACATAAGGATTACACATTGCTTGATTTACAGATTACTTATTAATGTCAATTCATAAGTTCAAATCTTTGTCAAGTCATTCGTTCTTGTTTCATTTGAGAGTTCTTGACGGTGAGGACTGTTTGCTCATTTCGCTGAGAATGTTGCTAAGGTAAGAAATCGGAGCGCATGTCGTTTGGAGCCACTTAATACGATGTGGATTATGATTTCAGATAGAGCTGGTAAAGTTGTAGAGAAATCTCTAGCTTCAATACTATCAGGGATTTCTGTCACAATGTATCAAATATTTATTCCGAAATAAACAAATATTTTGAAAATAGTATTCACTAAAGATTTAAAGATCTAATAGTGATTTAAAGTTGCGTCAATAAAGAAATCTCTAGTTCCAAAACCTGAGGGATACAACAAGCTCGAAAAATATGAAATTTTACAATGTTAATAATTGCAAATATAAAAATAAAAATAGGATTATCCAATATCATTAGTTGATATTTTCTCTATTATAAAAATTATAGAAAAAATTCTATTATGTTCCAGAAAATGTTAGTCAAACACTTATTGACACAATCTTGTTCAAAATTACACGAACAATTTTCTTCTTTATCAACAAAATTGCAAGCTAATAATTAATAATAGAATTTTGGTGAACAGATTTAATTGAGAAAAAATACAATCTTCGATAAAATATTGTAGATGTGGATCCAATAGATTAAACAGCTCCGCTATTTTCGAATTACCAGAGGTTTTAAAGAAAATTGGATATAAGTCATTTTACCACCGCACTCTTCTTCAATATTACCAGAACATGTAAAAAGAAAATAAGAAAAAAATCCTTTCTTGAGAAAATTTCTTAAATATTGCACGGGCTGAAAATACAGACATTTAGAAAGACATTTTTTTCGGCAGAAGGACCTCACTAAACGTTCACTGTCGTTCAATATTCTACGTCGAGAATTTTGTAGAAGTATCTATTTTGTGCTTCAAAAAGGAAATATATCCCTAATTCGAGAAGAAAAAAATTGGGCATTCATTGACACTGACCGTTAACGTACATATGTTAATCTCGAAAAATTTTCTGAGAAACACATTTTAATGTGTCTCTGCAATACACAATAGAATCACATTTATAGACAATATTTATCAACATTTTCGTTACCAGGGACCAGTATATGAGATTTCTTGTCGATTTTTGGCCCACGATGGTAATACTTTCTCTTCGTGCGAAGGAAAGAAAGCAGATAGAAACCCAGGATCATTTTGAATATCATTCGGTACCAATATTAATCGGTGTTTACGGGTGCGGGAGTATAGGGTGACACTCAGGGTATAAATATTACTAATAATTATTGACTCGTGTTTTCTCTGCATTGCGTAAGGATCACGTTTAAATACTTTACAGCATCTAGATGCTCCCCGATTGTTGCCACTTGTGTAAAACTTATTTAATTCCCTAATCCAAAATTATCTCTTATTATTAAAGCGTTTCTGTGTGCTATCATGTTTCTCGCAGCAGTTAAAATATTCACAATTGAAAATTTCCTACCTGCTCGCAGTACTTCCATCTTTCCATTTTCTTCAACTGCTGTTGCCTCTATATCACTTCGGAGTGATTCGGGTTCATGTTTAGAGGGCTTCTTTTCGCCTCCAGTACAAGTCTTATCATCTGGGCCACATCCCGCTCCTGGGGGATCTCGATGAGGTTCGGTTGCTTCGTCCATTTCGCCTACGCGTTGCTGACGGAACTGGAGGGCGCGGCGTTGGCGGCCTCTTTATTGCTACGAATATTCTTACGTAGCATAGATCCGGTGGGTAACCGCATCCGACCGACCCATCATTTCACTGGAAAAAGGAAGCAGATAGCGTTGCAGTCCTTGGGACTCCCGATTGAGGACGCGATGTATTTGAAGTGAATTTTTATGATGATTTTGCTGTATCTGTATTTAGGCCCAAAATATGATTTTCTCAGAAGCTAAAAGCATTACTTTCTAATATTATTGTGTGTGTCATACTCAATAGTTGAAAATTATAGATTTTTTTTTGCTTCGAAAAGAAAATATATCTCTAAAAACACATCAATATTTTTAAATCCTAATACTAAATATTTTTAAACTTCATTATCTGTATTTTTTTATTTCTCACGCTTAGAGATAACAGAGACATCTTAAAGTCTTAAGAGTTTTCGTATGTTCTTTCTCTGATATCATATATTATCAATATTACCAATTAAATAATGCAAGGCAATATAGAAAGAAACGTTGGAAGATCACTAAGAAGATGGAGTGAGCAATGTGGCCCGGAACTGACTGAAAAGTCTAATCCTTGCAGATGATGATGATGATGTTGATGATGAACAATATTTAGAGTCTCGCGTCTCAAGTGCTCAGTTTGTGAATAATTAGTAGACACAAACGCGTTTAGAATATTAAAATATGTAAAAACTTGTCACTGTAAATTGCATTCATGAAATCTAAATATACTACATATGTTAGTATATTACATAGATTCACGAGTCTTACAATAAATTAATAGATTTCATTATCATAATAATTTTCGAAATTTAAACTGAGAGATTAAATTAATTCTTAAATCATGCCTCAAATAGATTTTTAATATATTGAAATATCCCTATATAACTATAAATCAAAATACATAATTGACTAATACACACTGTACTTAAGGATCGTATGATGGCGAGTTTGATTCGTTGCCTAAATTGAGTCGGAGCGTTGGATCTTAACAGCACTACTATTTGGCAGCACTGTAGAGTTATTGAGCTGTCAATCGATAGATGGCATTTTAGCAACTACTGTTTCCTTCTCCATCATACTGAAGCCGTTGTTAGTTCTTACTTTGTGTCTTACAATCTTTGTGTTTTATACTGAAAGTTACTGTGTGTAGATGAACATAGCGTTTGGAACTCTTCTCCTGTACTTTTCAAGTAAACTCCATTAGCTTTGAAATACGGCTACAAACTTGTTCTGTTATTTTAATTTTCATTGACGAGTGACTGAAATTGGATAATGAAGAGTTGCTTTGATTGAGGGATCCGATGGTACCAATTTGTTGAAGACTTTTTGTACTTCCTTAAGCGTCTGAAGTCCTTGGAAATGCTTAAAATGATAATGAGGTCAGCCAGTAGTAATCGTTTTATCAGTGTTCCGTAATGAGAAGTTTCATTACGAGAGGTTCCGTAATATTGTGCTGGTTTTTGTAAGCCACTATGTGTGAAAGCATGAAGTAATTGTAACTTTTACGTCACAAGTTTCAAAAGTACTTCGTTAATTTCCAAATTAGTATAGGAAAACATATAATGCCCTATATGTATTTGTTAAGTATTATTATTATTATTATTATTATTATTATTATTATTATAATTTACGTTGGTGAAACTAAGCATGTTGAATTTAGAAAGCTATTTGCTTCGGTTTCCTTTTTTCTATTGGGATTCGCTAGTTTACAGGTTTAATTAATTTCCGAAGAAGGGGATTACGGAGTAAAAATGTTTAATTACATTTTGTACATAACTCTTTTCAGTTGGTATTCTTAATCAATAATTAATGTCACTAAAATGACAGGTCTCTAAAAGATAAAAATAAAATAGTGAATGCCATGCTTTTAATACAAAGTGATCTATCAAATATATTGTAATTGATAAACACAATATAGCATTGTGTGTTATACGTAATGAGACAATATCTATGTTTAAAGACTTCAGCATGTGTAGACACAATACAGCGAAACTGAAAGAGAAGTGTGAACATTTTTCCGAGCAAGTAGTCTGAAATAATTTAGAATCTCTTAAGCGCAGACAGTCTTAGCAGCAAAATATTTTTTTAAATGTTCATGTCAATGAAAATGCAACAAGAGCAATTTATAGAGTTAGAAATGAGTTAGCAAGAAAAGACAAGCCTTTGAGGGTTTTTAAAAATTGTATTGTAATAATTACTGATGGGATGTTTCGTGAAAAAAATAAATCTATTCAAAGACATTAGCTATTCACTCAACATATTTGCACGTGGAGTGGAAGAAATATCTTCTACCATTTCCTCTCAACTTACTGACAGAGCATCAAAGTTTCAATTACTTTGGATGAGTAAACTCATGCGACAGGCATATCACAAGTGATATTGTTTATAAGAGATGTCAATACTAGTTTTAAGATTATGTAAGAATTGTTTGATGTCATTAACTTGTACTAAAATATTGTAGAGGAAGATATTTTTAAAGAATCAACTCCCAATGGATCTTTATCCAAAAATTAAAAATGTTTACAGAAATTTATTGTGAGTATTTTTTGCTCCTCTTAGAAGATGTGAACAAACTTTCTCGAATATGTAGTATATTATGCCTAAGAACAGACGTAACTAAAGTGATGAACATCTGAGAGACATGTTAGTAACAAGTAAAAACCTTGAGACCAAATTAACTTATTATAGAGTTTAAAAATTATTTATCTGTTCAAGCTGAGACACGTTTTAAAACAGTAAATTGTTTATGTGTTGTGTAGAAGAAATCTCGGTAACTAAATTTTGAAATGTACACTTGCAGCCGTCAATATGTATTAATTATTATAATTATCGTATCGAGAATCGTATGGTTCCATACAAGTGTGTGTTTTAAGAAATAATTGTTAACCATTTGTTGTTCTTTAATTAAAATTTAATTTACACAATCTGCGGTATGCCATCATTTTAGTTTTTGGGCCTAGTGCTCTTGAAAACTTGCTATCCGGTCCCCCGTTTAAAACAAGGTTGGAGACCCTCTGTTATATTTGGAAAATAAACATGAAGTGCAACCCAACCAAGTTCATTTATCCAATTTTTACAACCAAAAATGCACTTTGAAAACTCGTATATTTCCATTTGCACTGAAAGGTTCTGATCCTCATTGCGCAGTAGGTGCCATTGCTCTAGACTAGCATAAGGCGAGTGATACCCAGAACCACTGCAACGGGAGCCCGCGGGCGTTGTGCCCCGAAATCTTTGATTTGAATAGCCCTGATAAATAAGAACCAAATTAATACGTTACGTTCTACTACACAAGTAATTTCAGCAAAATCGTATCCACTTCCAGCAATAGATGTAACAACGCCCGGAAGTCCATTTCGCCAGGAAGGTGATGAAAGGAATGTGTGATGTGTGTCAGGCGACTTTGGCGGCGGCGACGGAGGAAATTACGATAAAAGCCGCCATCCGTCATTCGCTACTCATGACACCGTAGTCGCACAAAACCACACACACATTGTTGGAACTCACAAGGATATGTTTGACGGTACAAACAAGGAAAGTAAGGCGAAACTATTTCTTGAAAAATCTTAATGTTCGTTGCGTATCTACTCACATGTCTGTATTCTTTTTCGAGCGTCATAAAGGGAGTCTATGCAATTCGAGGTGTTTTTTTCCTATATTTTCTCACTTGTGTCACCTGAAGTGACAACAATTTGACCAATGATGCCAGCCACTTTTGACAAAACATTCTTTTTTATTAAGAATATGCGGTAATACTGCTTAAACGGTTACTTCTTTCACGGCCCCTTTAAAATTGGTAAACGGGTATTTGTTTACAAAATGCTCTATGCAGCCGTTAAACGATTATCAGACATGTAAATATTAAGAGAGCTTCTCTAATATGAAACTATTGCGATCTTTAAGGTTTTTTTCTGGCGCTTAATTACTTCGTCTTATTTAATGGGTAATATGGGCCGCTAGTTCGCAAAACTCTCATTAATATTGTTTTGTGAGATACTAACGTCGAACGGATGATTATACAATGACTCAAGAGAAGGCGTTACAAATGTGCCAAAACGTCTTAACCCAGCAATGGAAATGTTGGGTCTTTCTGACCCAGTGTCATCTTTGAAGTGGTCTATCGAGTGAACGAAATTATTTCTAACTTATCCACCACTCTACCTTGAAACCACTCTATCTTCTTGAACAGGCGATTAGTTTGAGTTTATCAGAGAAACGTGGTGAGCTATTCCCGTTCAAAGTTGTTGATGGGTTCATCAGCCCCAACGCTCCCGTTTACGTGTCGTTTTTATAACAGGGCCGGCGAATTCAAGTGTTATTTTAACGTATATAGTCCGAATGATACAGAAGTAATAAAGAAGCCTTTAGAAAAAAATTGTTTATCAAGTGATGATGAAGTTGCTGAAACATTAATTTCACTAAAATGTTCGCACAGTACAGATTCTGAACAAGAAATTGAAGAAGCTGGACCTGAAAAACAGGAAATTAAATCTGTATCTTTTGTAATATGTTTATTTGCAGTCTAATTTTTATAAATAAAGTTGATATTTTAGAGTTAAGAAATGCAAATTATTTTAGATTTCGGTAGGTCACAAAACATTCTCGCGAAAAGAGTAAGAAAAACAAAAATTAGCAAAAATTTTGGAAAAACTGCTTCCATAAATCATATTATAAAACATTGTATAAAACATTCCTGTAAAAATATTAAAAAGTAAATAAATAATTAATATTGCAATAATTAATTTGCTACATTTTCTTTACTTGAGCTTCGTTCACTTTCAATTTTGTTTTTTGTCAACAGTCAGAGACTTTTAAAAAATTGGGCAATATTTTGGAATTGATTTTGGTTCTTTGACTTATTTCCATCTTTTACTTCATAATAAACTATTTGTGTAATTAATTAGTGTATAAAATAGACTCTAATAATAAGCGGATTTATTAGACCCAATTTTTCCATTGACGTCAGGGTTTTACACGTTATCACCGTCGGGTTAATATC